ACACACACACACACACACACACACACACACACACCCCAGGGTGAACAGGCCTCAGACAGTTAGTAAACTTTATCCTAGGACCCAACACAGCTTTTGGCATGTGGCAAACACTTCATAAATATTCACTGAAAGACTAACCAAACAGCTTTTTTTTCCCACAAACTCCTCTGTTCCTGGGATGTGATATGGTAAGAAATAATTTCTAAAAGCAATACTGAAAAACTCCAAGATCCTTAAAACATTCTGTTTCACATATTTTTCTTTACGAAGGCAGAAAAGATTAAATACACATTTTAGAAACATTTTCAGAAAGGACTGGTATAAAAATCTTTTCTGATAAACGATACATTCACTATAAATTCTAGAGACGTTTTGTATCATATGCATTAAGTTCCAGCAAAATTTCATTATGTGTTTCCATAGCCATTTTTCACAGAGAAACAACAAAGGATAAAATCAGAAAGTTGTTTTTTTGTTTTTTTGTTTTTTTTTACTTACTTTGGATGTTCAAACTTGTCTATCAGTTCAACTTTTTCCACCAGGTCTCCTCCAATTGTTCGTACTAAGTCATAGAAATCGTTTTCTGTATAATTCTCAGAGGGTAACCAGAATGAGATGTCATTTATCACAGCAGGATATTTGCTAAGAGGCTAACAAAACAAGAGAAGAAAAGAGATTGATTTGTTAGTTGGATGAGAATGTTTAAATTTTTCATGGAAAGTTACACTTGGCTAATTAGAAAATGCTGGTAAAGCATTATTTCAGCACTCGGATTTTCAGGGACAAAGTGAAGAGAAAGATAAAGCCAATGTTCAAAATTAGCAAATTCCATTATGAATGTTATGGATTCTTATCACATTCATTTGTAACATTATCACATATTATATTTATATAACCATTAATGTTCAATTTAGTATAAAGCAATTTGAATATATCATATTTCAGGGTTTTTTTTTCCCATTTGAATACTAGAGTAGAAAAGTTCACATTTAATTAACAAGTGATTCATTAATTTCCTGTGATATTTCAGGAAATCATTTTAATAGAGAAATAAGTAAAGGCTTGTCAAAATTGATATTTCAATTAGTAATGTCATTATTTGTTAGTATTTCTAGTTACTAAAATAAAAGACTGGGATGATAAGTAGTCATTTGGGGAGTTATTTTTCAAATTATGATTCCAAGAATAAACACAAATGTAGTCATTTCCCCCATTTTATCCCCTTTTTTTCCAGTTTATTTGAGCTCATTATTATATTATATATATATATAGCTCATATATATTATATACATTA